CTTCTTGCTGTGAGGCGACAGTGCTAACCACTGCGTCACCTCTAAGTATTACTGTGTATGCATAAATTGCTATGTAGGTATGTTATCGTACAAATTGTAACATTTTCTGTGTTTACGTAGATAAGAGAAGCAAACACTTTGTGCATGGCTGAATTCAGTGCTTTTACTGTTTGAGTAAAACTTGCAAACAAAGAGACAAAAATGTGGATATTGCAAAATTAAATACAATTCTCTCCATGAAAATAGTTATGTTTCCATCCAAAAATGCTAATTAAATTTACGTGCAAAACTGAAATATTGCATAAAAGATGTGCGAATAAAGCAGCGTTTTAATCCAACGAGTCAAAGAGAACAACATCATCACTTCCTGATTAACTGGCGCCAAATATCAACAGTACAAACGGAATTTGCTGTGTTAAATGAAGATGTGTGAATCTTTTCTTTATTTAATAAACGACTTTCACCTCAGATGACAATGCCAACACGCAATGAACGCCTGGTGGCATTTAAAGGCATGAGACGCAAAGCGCAGATGCCCTTGACAGTCCTGAGGTAATTAATAATATAATAACACTAATACTGAAACAGTTAAAGCGTTTTAGAATGACCAAAACAACATTTCAGATGTTTTACAATGTGCTGAGCCTGCTGGTTTGTCCATTCCCAGACATTTTTATCGTCACATGATCTCTTTTAACAAAATCACATGACTTTTTTTAGTGCACATACTGGAATTTGTTCGGTAAAAGTGTTTTCAAATAGAGTTTTCTTATCGAATAAAAAGGTTATCCTTCTCAGTTATGCGCATGTGGTTTTTATGCGCATTTTCTAATTTTATGCGCATCTTGGTGTTTCCATCAACCATATCTAAAATGTGCATAAAAATAGGTGGATGAAAACGTAGCTAATGAGACAAATGACAAAAAAGACAAACAACATACATTTAAATATCTTAGTTAAGCAAATTTGACTTTACTTATTAGGGATGTAACGATATTGTAAATACCGTCATACCGCAATATAAATTTTTTTCGATATTACCGTAGTCGCATGACTCGGTAAAACTATAGGTCTTCTGAGAAAATTTGCTCAGGCGAATGAAGCAAACGGGAGGTACCGGAAACTACAATTCCCATCAGCCCAGGCTTGGCCATAATCCCTTGCGGAGTGTGCTGCTAGAAGCGGGGATGAAAAAGAGTTGGAAAACCCTAAAGCGGGTGTTGTCGCCGCGCGCGTACTGAATAGCGGTGTTGTCGCGCGAGTTCTTATCAGCTGTGTTGTCGCGCGCGTTCTGATCAGCTGTGTTGTCGCACGCGTACTGTAAAGCGGGGACGGAGGGTATGTCGCATCGCGGGGGCACTTTTGATCATTTTGGAAGGGAACTTTCTATCCAAGACTAAAAAGGGCATGTGCACTGCACAGGTTGAGCCCTGTGTGTGCACATGCCTGCAAGTTGGGGAATACGATTAATAATCAGTCATGGGGACTGCAGAAACACAGCACACTGTTCAGATTGATGCAGACATGAGATCTCCATCTCACTCATGGTTTGTCCTCTCAAGTGGGGGAAAGACAATGCACAACGTTACCCACTGCTGTCAACCTGGGCCAAGTCATATCTCTCTTGTCCCAGAAACCTCAGTCCCAAATGAGAGGGTTTTTTCTGTTGCAGGGGACATTGTAAATACCCAGAGATACCAGCTTTTACCAGATTATATTTATATGATAATTTTCCTTTAAACCCATCTCTATCTAAGTGAGTGAGTGATTAAATGTTGAATGTGATGAGTTTTCAACAATACTAAATTGAAACTTAATTTTTTACATGGTTTAATATTTTTTTGTTATTAAAATTGAAGTTCCTGTTTTAAAGCTTACAAATAGATGGCTAATTTGTATTTCATTGACACTTTTGGCACTTTTTTGGAGTATTTTCATAAGTTTTGTTTTTTCCTGTAAATGATTCAATAAATACCGTACCGTGACATTCATACCGAGGTATTACCGTACCGTGAAATTCTGATACCGTTACAACCCTATTACTTATGTACTACTAACATGTGAAATATCTGTGTGTGCAAAAACTTGCAAAAAAAAAGAAAGTTTATTTTACTAAGGGCTGCGCAGTATATTGTTTCGGCATCAACATCAGGATGTGTGCATAAATAATAGTCACTTTACAGAAAGTGCAATGTCGAGTGCGGATTATAGTTGCCCGGGCAGCACAGTTCAGAACACATGTGATTTGAGGACTCATTGGAATTTGTAAAGTTTAGCCATAATAGAGTAAATGTTTATCATTTGCACATGTTTAAAGGCATGTGACTGTGTGAGCATTTAAAGCAAGTTTAAAGCTTTCGGGCTCAAGAAATTATAAGATTTGTTCAATAGAAAAAATAAACTGTTGATAAATGCATTTATTTATTTAAACCAGGCATGTCAAAACTCTGTCCTGATGGGCCGGTATCCTGCATATTTTAGATCCAACTCCAATTAAACACACCTGAACAAGCTAATCAAGCTCCTTCTAAGTGTACTAGAAACCTCCAGGCAAGTGTTTTAAAGGAAATTGGAGCTATACTATGCAGGACACCGGCCCTCCTGGAGTTTGGACACCCCTGATTGAAGAAGACTATACAGTGTTATTTTACATTTGATCATTCATTTTCTGTATCCGAATACTGTACAACTTAACAGAAAGCCATAAAGGACAGTTTATTTCATTTCTAAAAAAAAACAATAGCTCTATTCTTCTTCTTATTATTATTATCTATATTTAGCTTTTTATCTATACTAATATGTTTACAAAACATTTTCTGCAGATGTTCTCCTCTACACACCAAAACATGTAATCTTTCAAAATACAGCTTAGCGATTGAAAACATCTGGTACATTTGTGTTTATATCGTAACATATATACTAAAATATGAAATTATTGCAATGCCATAATTATTTTTCTCCCAATATCATCCTATTTTTACTTCTTGTTTTGTAACTTACGTCAACATTATGTTTGTCTTGAACTATTTATATGCTTTTGTTGAGACATTTTCTGACTTCTTAGGATATTTTTGCTGGTAAAAATCAAAAAGACAAATCATTTTATTTCTTTACATATACTCTAGATAATAAAGTGGATCCTTTTAATGTTTAAAAAAATAAAATAAAATAAAAAATCATTCCATACTGTAATGCCAATGTGTCTGCAAAGAAACAGATTACATTGACAGATGTCTATGAACTTAAGTCACAAATATGTTTTTTATTCAGCTTCTTTTTTTTTTAAACAATCAAACTATCATACCTTTATGTCCTCATCCTTAAAACTAAGCAACCAAACAAAAACATGGGAAATATTCCCAGAAGCTGGACTACATTGCTTTAGTTTACCCTATCATAACTGACAGACCAACGTTTGATATTGTTGTATGACCTTTTAAAAAAGCTGATTTTATTTAACAGTACAGTGAGCTGGTTTTACATATTGAGGTAAAGTTAGTTTTATATTCACACAAACGTTCATTTTTTTAACAGTGACTACTTGTGACGCAACTTTGAATATTAGCACTGAATTCAAAGGCAAGTGTGACTTTAAAATAACATTAGCACTATTTAACTAACTGTAAACAATGTTGTACTTTGACAGTCACTGCCTGCTAATGTGATTTCTCTTTAAAAAATAGCAAAGAATTCATTTGTTCATTCATTTTCCTTCAGCTTAGTCTCTTTATTTATCAGGGGTCGTCAAAGCTAAATGAACAGCCAAATTAACCAGCTACCAGCTGCAAGCCATCACTGGGAAACACCCATACACTCTTGCATTCGCACACAAACACACACACACACACACTACGGCCAATTTACCTTATTTAATTCACCTATAGTGCATGTCCTTGGACTGTGGGGGAAACCGGAGCACCTGGAGGAAACCCACGTGAATACGAGGAGAACATGCAAACTCCACACAGAAATGCCAAAAGACCCAGCCATGGCTCAAACCAGTGACCTTCTTGCTGTGAGGCGACAGTGCTAACCACTGAGCCACCGTGTCACCCATTTGCAAATAATACTTTTCTAAAATTATATTATTAAGGAGAATGTCTGAATGTGCGAATATATAACCAACTTTACCTCAATGTTTAACATTTGGTGTTATTTGTACTCATGATAGAAATTATTTTAATGTAAAGCACTTTGTGACTTCTTCTCTGTGAAAGATACTAAAGAGATACTTTTACTTATCCATTATTATTTAAGAATAACTAATGATAAAACCAGCAAAGTGCAAACTAGCCTGTCAACTAAACTGTGACCTTAGCGAGGGTTAATTGTGACCTCTGTCATGACTCAATACACTGAAACGACAGCGTCGACTAACTTGTTTGCTTTTCTAGCCTAATAATTACAGTTTTATGCTGTTTTTCAATATATTACGAACAGAGAAAGCTACCTAACACAAACAGCTTTAGAATAGCACGAATATCTCACGCTCAGTGAGGCAAAACAAAGCACACATCAACTCAACATCTCTGTTTTGACACATGGCTACTTAAAATAATCCTTAAAATGAAGTCTCCATTCAGTAAAGGTCATATCACTCCATAACATTTACGCTTATTTAAATAAAAAGAGAGATCAGCACAGATCATGGCATGCTGCATCTGGATGAAAACAGATGTTGATGTTATATAATACACGAAATGCATCGTGATATCTATACTCGTGCATTAAAACATCTGTCATATTCCTATAGAGATGCAAGGTTAAAGCTATAGCAAAGCTGCTTTCATCCCTGCACACATCATGTTTGTTTAAACCGCTGACAGAAGTGTTATTTACCACATCAGGTGGACAGAGCTGTCATCAGTTCAAGCGCTAACATGCAGTAGCATCATAAGTGCATCAAGCCTTAATTTCAACAAACTAAATGTTCCGTTTTGCCATTCACGCGCGGACGTTTTCTTTCAATTATATTGTCGTAAACAACCAGAAATACTTACAGATTGATGGGGCAGGTTGTTTGAGTTTGGATGGTGAATGAACCGCGCTCTTCGCTGGTGTGTTTGTGTGTTTCTGCTGCACGTCTGCGCAGTTCTTCCTGTCACACATCCGGGTATTTCCGCTGTCTGCGCAGCTCCTCCTCCTGCAACCATCCGGGAAATTTAGCTAAAAGCCTTTGTCTCATGAATATTAATTGTATCATACCGCTGTTGCCTGGAAACCTGAGCAGAAGATAATGAATATTCATGAATATATTGGTAGCGCCTCCCGCGTCACTCTGTTTAAACTTTTACCCACTCCATAAAGGTTATTATTATTGTTTTTAATTTAAATAACAGCATATAACATGTTAAAAAAATCTACATGTTGGGGGGGGGGGGGGGGGGGGGGGGGTTGTAAGTATAAACAAAAAAATACAAATATACAATAAGTAACAATTTATTAAATACACTTTTTTTTACATGCGTACGGCTTTCTTGTTTAGAGACCCACTCCATGACGATGTTACTTGGTAACTGTATTGTCTTTAAATAAGATCGCTGCTTAAACAACTGTTTAAAAAATCATCATTGTAAGGATGACTTTATATTTTATACACATATATGATATATCTAACATTTTAATAATTTACTTTTTTGTATCTTATGTTTATTTACTCTTTTAATCATTATTTTTTTCTTTTTTCTTTATGTTGTTGCCACAGCGAAATGAACCGCCAATTTATCCAACATGTTTTACACTGGGAATGCCTTTCCAGCTGTAACCCACTACTGAGAAACATCCATACACACAAATTCACTACGGCCAATTTAGTTTAGTCAAGTCACCTGTAGTGCATGTGTTTGGACTATGGGGGAAACCCGAGCACCCGGAGGAAGCCCACGTCAACACGGGGAGAACATGTGCCCCTATGCGCCGCATAACCCCTTTTGCGCCACTGACTCGAACCAGCGAGTTTTATTCTGTGAGGCGATTGTGCTACCCTCTGAGCAACCGCTATTTATGTACTAAGATTTTTAAAGTTGTACTATGAATATACATATTCGTATATCGATTTAAGTCACGTAATGTTCTTGCAAACGTATTTTGTACCCCCTGAAATTAAAAAATGTTGCTTGGTAACCATTCAGAGACGTAACATAATATTAACTCACCAAGATTATTTCCAAGATTCACCAACATTATTTTATCCATAGACTGCATAAAAGGTTTTATCACAGCAGGAGTCGCAAATGTGAGTATCAGCTTTTATGTAGTATTTTACGCCATCTTGTGGATGAAAATTTGAACGTTAATAATTGGGTTTGATGTTTTAGTAAGTTCATTCATTCATTTTCTTTTCGGCATAGTCCCTTTATTCATCAGGTACTGCCGCAGCGGAAAGAACACAGCAGATGCCCTTTCAGCTGCAACCTGGGGAAAACACACACACACACACACACACACACACACAATGGGCCAATTTTATTTATTCAAATCTCCGATAGCACATGTCTTTGTACTGTAGGGGAAACCGGAGCACCCGGAGGGAACCCACAGGAACACAGGGAGCACATGCAAACTCCACACAGAAATGCCAACTGACCCAGCGGGGACTCGAACCAGTGACCTTTTTGCTGTGAAGCAGCAGTGCCAACCTATGAGCCACCGTGTCACCCATAAAACAATAAAAATCATGATAATTAATTATAAACATGATCATTGTTATATTAGGTAAATAGAATATTTACTTTTTTACATTTTCAAGAATTATCTCCTGAACTGTATCCTTAAGCTACACACCTGAAACTCTTCATCACTTGGTGTCTTCAGTCCCTAAACATCTTTAAAGTGTTGTGAAATGGGCCCAGGATCACCAGTTGGCCAACAAATACATGAGAGGATACAGTTACTTAACTGGCCTGCCAGCAGTCCCAACCTGTCTCCAATAGAGAATGTTTGGTGCTTCTTGAAGTGCAAAATGCGACAACGAAGACCCCATACTGTTATCCACCTTAAAACTGGTTTACAGAAAAAATAGGACAAAATTACACCTGAAACCCTTCATCACTTGGTGTCTTCAGTCCCTAAATGTCTTTTAAGTGTTGTGAAATGGGCAGATGATCGCCAGTTTGCCAACAAATACATGAAAGGATACAGTTACTTGACTGGCCTGCCTGGAGTTCCGACCTGTCTCCAATAGAGAATGTGTGGTACATTTTGAAACACAAAATGCAACAATGAAGACCCCGCACTCTTGCCCACTTTAAGACTTGTTAGCAGAATGGGACAAAATTACACCTGAAACACTTTATCACTTGGTGTCTTCAGTCCCTAAACATCTTTAAAGTGTTGTCAAATGGGCAGAGGGTCGCTAGTTTGCCAACAAATACGTGAGAAAGGATACAGTTACTTGACTGGCCTGCCTGCAGTTCTAACCTGTTTCCAATAGAGGGTGTGTGGTGCATTTTGAAGTGAAAATGCAACATCAAAGACCCCGTACTGTTGCCCATGTTAAGACTTGTTTGCAGAAAAAAAAATAAGACCAAATTACACCTGAAACACTTCATCACTTTGTGTCTTCAGTCCCTAAACATCTGCCATTCATTTGTAGTTTATTTTTGTAAAAATCATCTTATTAAATACAGCAAACATTTAAATATGAAAACACAAAAACATGAGCACTTTGCAAATGTACATCTCAACTGGCTGTGCTAATGCAATCATTAGGATTACAAGTCGCTTAATTCTATTCATATTTAAGATCTCCTATTCGAATCAAAGAGATTAAGGAAGTATTCGGTGTATATGCAGTACACACATAATAGTTATTGGCTTCATGAGTTCAGTATCATTCATGTCTCCAACACCAGCTTCTCCAGTCCCCGTCATTTGACTAAATATAACTTTATCAATATGTAAAGTCTGTTATAGACAAGTCTGTCTACATATTAGCCATCATTAAGAGTTTGTTTGTAAAGCAAGATAGTGTTTTTCTTCACTAGTTGTCTTTCTTCCATATAAAACAACACTTTTTTTTTTCTGTTTTCTCCATGATCAGTTGTGAAGGCGAATGTCTCTGGTGGTGTTAACCGTGGCCTATTTTTGTGGTTTCCAGCGTCTCCTGATAAAGCCAGCTCTCAGCGAAGCTTCCAGACTGTTCCATCAGCTCAAAGAGACGCTTGTACTCATCAGGGTAAACGTCACCTGTCAGTGTGTCGTCAAGAAAACCAAGATTTGAGATCAACTCCGATCCCATGCCAGGACTCCATGAGCTTATGAAGACAGAAGACAAAAAAAAAGTCAGATTACAAGCCTTACTATATTACTATACAGTACTGTGCTACTATGAGCTATGGGAAGTGGCCTATACACACACCATAATCAGAAATCTCTAATCCGAAAAGTGGACAATGATAAGGGATTTAAACAGCAGGTATAGACAGGTGTCCTCCTGTCTACAACTTGTCATTCGATCAACCAAAAATGCATGCAATAACAGGAGTAAGACGCATTAAGAGGTCCAAAAATGCATAAACTTACTTAATTTGTTGAATCAGTTTGCCTTTTCTCTTGGCAAGGCATTGTTTCACCATCAGGACCAGTGTGCTGCCGTTCAAGGGAGTTAAATGAGAGCTAAACAAGTCCTCGCGTGGGGTGATACGCACCAGACAAAGGTTTTCACTCTGGGATAGCTGTTCAAAAAAAAAAAAGTATATAATGAGAGTCTTTTGGTTGGGCATGCATGTATAGGACTAAATTTGATAAATATAGTTCTATACACAATAATTATAGCTCTATATTTAATATACAATTAATTAATTAATTAACTTTATGAAATAAATCCCAAGATCAAAATTTTAGTCACACTTTAGTCACAAAACACACTTCTGGACCATTCCAAGTTACAAGTTTTTTTGTGTACATATTTGCATCTTATCCTATATATAGTCGTTATCTCTTATATCTTAATTAATGTATACATTTAAATTAATCTGTCATGAAATCAAGTTATGAAAGCCACTGTGAGGAATATATTTCAATAGCAAATTGGAGTAATTAAAACACAATTTCATAACTAGATTTAGACAGAAATATAAATACTGCCACATTTGTGCTTTAAATGCTATTTGCATGTATAATATTTATTTGATCGTTGATTAAAAAAAGCATTAGCAACTCTTATTAAACATACTGCACTCTGTTATTAACTGTAGCCTTTAATATTATATAGCAGTAAAATTCATTCATTTTCTCTCAGCTTATTCCCTTATTTATCAGAGGCTGCTACAGCGGAATGAACTGCCAACTGTTCCAGCATAAGTTTTATGCAGGGGATGACCTTCCAGCAGCAACCTAGTACTGGGAAACACCTATACACTCACATTCACACATGCATTCCGCCAATTTAGCTTATTCAATTCACCTATACTGCATGTCTTTGGACTGTGGGGGAAACCCACGCAAAAACGGGGAGAACATGCAAACTCCACACAGAAATGCCAACTGGCCCAGCCGGGACTCGAACCAGCGACCTTCTTGCTGTGAGGTGACAATGCTAACCACTGAACCACCATAGTAGTATAATATACAGGTAATAGAGTCCTCTATATTTTACAGCAACATTTGACTGTAAATTACTGTATTCATTTTTCATAATATTACCTCTTTATTATTCATATGATAATGTCATATATTACAACATAGCTCATACAGTACACATAACATCATTACTTTTTGTTTCTCAACTTATTTTGTAAACCATTTTCACTATAGTTAATAAAAAATTCCAAAATTTGCTATCAAACAATAGCCATAAATCTGAGGTTAGTGGTTGTCTAGTCATGATTTGGACCCAAAATCTATTTAGACTATCTATCAGAATTATTCATTAGGGGAAAAAATCCAATCAAATGCATTAAATTGAACATAAAAACGTGATGCAGTGCCTCCCATACATCAGAAATCTAAAAAATGTCAAATAATCAGTGTTGAATCCTAGTATGAAATTTCTGCATGCCAGTACTTACAGTGCTCCCTGACGCGCTCTTTCTATTATTGTTGGTTGTAGTCAAAAATGATGACAATGGCTCCTGAAAAAATGCAGAAATACACATTAAAATCACCAAAAATAGCATACACACAAACATATGAATTAATATTAGGGCTGCACGATTATTTTGCTCAAAATGTTAATCACAATTAATTATGATAGTTATTCCTTTGTGTGTGTGTGTGTGTGTGTGTGTGTGTGTGTGTGTGTGTGTGTATATCCTTATTAAACTTCACAGCCACAAATATAAAAAACACAACTTGTAATAAAACTGGGCGATATACTAATACTTGTTTTCCATTCGTTACTCTGCCAGGGACTTTGCTGCTGGAGAGCACCTTCAATAATAATCTAAACATTTGTTTAAAGATGGAGCGCAAGATGTGCTCAAAAGAGTGGCTACATGTGGTGAAGAACGATGGCAAAGCTAAGTTTAATTATTGTAATAAACTAATAAGTTATAAAGCAGACTGTTGTGACCAACATGACAAAGCCTTTGCGGTTGGTTCTCATACTTAACGAATATCGAATTAAAAGAATGGCGTGTTAGGTTCATTGTGCATCCCTTGGATGCAACCAACAAGAGTTGTGCATTTTAGTTTAACTTTTTAAGAGTTATGAGCAGTTCGGTGTTAGTTTGTATTTAAATATATCGAGCCGAAACTAAACAGCGCATTCTCTCCGCCTCCTCATTCATAACCAGCGGGACATGCTGCTGAAGCATGCAGGACAGGCGACTTTAAACTCCATCATTCATAATCTTAGCTTTTGTATTGAAGTCGAAAGGATATATTAAAGTAGAATGTCCTTTTAACAGTCTCGATATGTTTAATCTTTTTTCCTGTCATTTCTCATAAGCAAATTAGATTATTTTAAAGCTGCTTGACTGTTTTAAAACCGAAAGCAGAGCCTGTCAATTGTTGTTTTTCCATAAGATACTCCTTTAGGAATGTTTTATTTTATAAGTAAAGCCTTTAATGTGCTTTTTAATAATTTTATTCTATTCAAAGCAGCACTTAGATGCGAATTTATCCTCAAAATGTGGCATGAGAGCGATGCTTGTCCTGTGTTGGACGATTGCCTCTTTTTCCTGCGCACGCAATTAATTTCTGATCCTTTTACATAAAGGTTTTAATCAAAAGACAGGTCATTTAATTACTTCCGATGTGCTACAATATGTGTTAAACGAATGTTATTTAAAAAAAAAAAAGCATATTAAAAGTGTAAAACAGACTAAAGTGCATGGTCCAATCGGAAATAAAGGAATTAGCTATATATTTCATTATTTAAGGCATAAATAGCTTAGTCTTTTTATAAATTGAGCTTAATTAATTTGAAACTTTAAATTGCATTTTTATTTCCTGTAAATAATAAAAGTTGCATCATATTAAGGAAAACGAACCTGAATACCTGCGTGAACAGGGCCACAATGACTTTTTTTTTTACATCAAAACAATATGATACAGTGTCTTCTGTCTACATAACTGGCAAACGCGTCAGAAAAAAATTGCTGAATCTATGCGAATATTTGGTTAACTTATAAAACAAATGTCTGGTTTAGTGATGTTAGTAATGCATAGAAAAATGCAAAGCAGAATTCTCCTGAGTGCATTAACCCACTGATGACAGCCTCTGATGGCGTTTAAGGTGGTTAATGAGGTTTGTTGTGTTACCTTGGGAAGTTTGGACTGAACAGGAGCAAAGAATACCTGAACAACATTGCATTCCTCGAAAAAAACACTTGCAATAGTCGCAGTCACCTCATGCTTGAGATGCGGTACAATCCGTAAACTCCGCCCATTAAAATAAAGGCTTGGTCTTTATACTGTAAAATCGCGACAATATTTAATTATTGATCATGGGCCACAAATATCGTTATCGTGATCATAATACGATTAATTGTGCAGCCCTAAATAATATATTACTCCCATAAAAAGAGTGATGCATGAATGATAATAAACAAATGTCTCACTTCATGCAGTAACTCAATATCAAAGGCCATCTGCGCCAAGGCACTGAAAGCTTGGTAGTTCTTATAATCCCTCGGACGGGTCACTAGTTTCTGTCAGAGAAAAGAATCAGAATTCAGATTTGAGATCCAACTGGAAACTCCTATCTCTATTTTTTTTTTCCACCTGGAGTTGTGTAAACTCACCGTGTACTCTTTCTGACTGATGAACATGATCAGCTCCACACGTCCATAGCGAAAAATGGAGCGGCGCTCAAACAGGTTGTAAATCATCTTCCACATCAAGTTTCTCTCATTCCTCTGTGTGAAGAGACCCACGATCTTCACTGGGACATCTGAGCCAGAAAAAAAGTATAGAAAGAAAAAGAAATATATTGAAATTGCATTCTACTAGTGAGACTTTTCAGATAATTAACCCTAGTCCAAATGTATTACCCTTTTGTTTGGTTTGGGATGAAAACATCCACTTAATTAAACTGCTGTAAAAATACATCAGATTGATTTTTTTTTTCAATTTTTTTGCATAAATCTGTTAATGAACCCTGATCAAAACTACTAATTTTTTTTTTTAATTACAGGATTTTAACTCTATAACAGCCAAATTAAAAAATGATAATACTGATTAGATGAAAAAAAAACCCCACACAAAATAACTTATTTTTAATATAAAAAGTTGTGGACTGGATTTTTTAAACCTTTTATCACAGTCTTGTTGTCAAGATTAGTAACATTCATTGGCCTTGACACATTGTTAGTTTTAATTTTTTCTTACTAATTTACTGTTGGTGGCTGTTTTTGCTTCATTGACTTCCATTTTAACCTCATTTTTTTGATTGCAAACCCATGACACCATATTATTGTGCATTTTTGTTGGTGGTTTACCCTGTTGGGAAGAGATAAATTGTGTAATATTTACTGTTGACCATCAGTTGGCACTATTAACCCTCTAGATAGGCCTGTGCAAAAAACTTTTAACTTTGTACTTTTTTCACAACTACTTTTAAAATTGAAAATACGTCATTTTGTGTGATTTTTCACTAAATCAGTGACATCATTTATGATTTTGGCTATTACAGAGTTAAAATCCTGTAATTTTCTGAACAATTTAGTAGTTTTGATTAGGACTGAGGTTGATTAACAGATTTATGCAAAAACAAAATATCAAAAAAAATGATCTGATGCATTTTTACAGCAATTTAATTCAGTAAATGTTTTCAGCCCGAACACAATAAAAGAGTAGTAAATTTGGCCAGAGTTTATTGAATCTTTAAAAAAAATTCAAAGCATTTTCTCAAAATATGTGTCAAAGTAAGATTTGTCACCAAAAATCATTCTGCTAGCTGAAACACAGAAAAAGTTATGGCCAAATTAAGACAGAAATTCATCCCAGAGTGGATGAAAACATCCTAAACAGCACATAAGGGTTAAGGTCTTTGCAGCACAAACGTCCAAAGTTTTTGTATATTCATTCATTCATTTTCTTGTCGGCTTAGTCCCCTTATTAATCTGGGGTCGCCACAGCAGAATGAACCGCCAACTTATCCAGCAAGTTTTTTTTTTTACACAGCCGATGCCCGCAACCCATCTCTGGGAAACATCCACACACACACACACACACACACACTCATACACTACGGACAATTTAGCCTACCCAATTCACCTGTACCGCTTGTCTTTGGACTGTGGGGGAAACCGGAGCACCCGGAGGAAATTCTCTCCGGAGGGAGAACATGCAAACTCCACACAGAAATGCCAACTGAGCCGAGGTTCGAACCAGCGACCTTCTTGCTGTGAGGCGACAGCACTACTAACTGCGCCACTGCCTCGCCCTTTTTTTTTGTATTTATATCCACACAATTAATCCAAAATCAATTAATTTGTTGTGAGTAAAAAAACAACAAAACAATGTTCAAATTTGGGAGTCAATTCAAGCAGTGATGCTTTTATCTCATCTCTCTAAATAAAAAAATAAATAAATAAAAAACTAGACAAAAGTAGAGGAATAAATGTTGTGTTCATCCAATACACTGCACTGTTTTACCATATATTGAGAATTAACTTTAATAATAGCTTACTCTTATTAGCCTACTCATATTATTTTACATCTACAGAATCGTGAGAAAATTCTGATCTTGATTTTAAGCAAAAGAGATTGTGATGCCAGAATTGTGCAGTTCAGGTGGCTCTGAACTGTCAAGAAACCTCTCAAAACGTTTTTCTGATGCAAAAAAAAAATCTAAAAGATGAATGAAAGTTTTGGAGGCAGTGCGTCAATGCGATTGACACAACCTGAGGTCAAATTAATTTTTTAATGTGCAAAAACATCAGACGAATATTTCAGATTCAGTGTGCACTAATCTTCTATTATGAACCCTTTTAACAAGACTGTTATGACGCATTTAATGGTCCTCATAATCTTAAAAAGCTTACTGTAGGTTATACAGTGAGTCAATGTGGGTAAGAGTAGAGTAGGAACTAGATTTTCTTTAAAGTATACGTTAAAGTTTATTATTAAGCCACCTGAAGTCATTTTTAGTCAGAACAGAACAGAAATGTTCTTCCACATCTGAAAAACCGCCAAACCTGAAGTGACGTCAGACTAGGGAGACAACTGATCATGGTGTGCGTTTGGTAGCTGAGAAAAGATATTAGTTACAAGCTAGCAGCGGTGCTCTACAGTAGGCTATTCCAACGTAAACACATCGCGTTGCTTCTAATTAATAATAATAATAATAATAATTCCTTACATTTACACAGCACTTTTCTGGGCACTCAAAGCGCTTTACACAATGGGAGAATCTCCTTATCCACCACCAGTGTGCAGCATCCACCTGGATGACGCGACAGCAGCCCTTTTGCGCCAGACCGCACACCACACACCAGCTGATTGGTGGAGAGGAGAAAGAGTGATGAAGCCAATTATGATATGGGGATGGTTAGGAGGCCATGATGGACAGAAGCCAGTGGGCAGATTTGGCCAGGATGCCGGGGTGAAACCCCGACTCTTTTTCGAAAGACATCCTGGGATTTTTAACAACCACAGAGAGTCGGGACCTCAGTTTAATGTCTCATCTGAAATATGTTTATAGTTTACCACAGTTTAACTATGATGACTTCCACGACTGAGAAACCTGGAAATGTGAAAAGGGTCTATTGTTTTTGAAAGTAGACCAAGCACACAATATGCACACCAAGGAAGTTATTTGATTAATACTACAAGTATTGTGAAATTTAAGGTTTTTTTACATTACATAAAAGCTGAAATAAGCTTTCTATTAAAGAGCCCATATTATGGGTTTTTGAAAATGCCCTTCCATGTAGTGTGTAACACAGCTCTAAATGAAGTGAAATATCCAGCTAAGGCTTACATCTGTAAGAGTACAGTGTTTAAAACTGCTGATTCATCTATAAAAGAGTCGACTCATAGTGCTTCAAACGAGTCGTCTTGATAACGAGTCATTAGGTGTTTCGCCATGACGTACTAACAAAATTAAGTTATTCATGCGCAAACCCGGGAGATTTGAAACCTGCAGTCCCGCCCTCTAACACAGAAACCCACCCACACACACAAACATGCCGGTCGATTGAAGTCACACTGTAGATGGATATTATTAAGTCTCTACCCAGAGATGTAACCTCAGCATTATAACCTATGAGCAGTTGGAAACTACTGGAAACTACATGCTACAAAGAATACTTCAATACTTCGGCCGTTTGTTAAAGGAAGGATTAGTAAAGAGTGCTGATGGACATGTCAGGACATGGATCGGTTTCTTCCTCCATTTCTCAAGTGTAAGTACGTGTGATTAAAGTTGCTGCCTTGTTTACTCTAGCTTGCAAATGTATTTAGTTGTGATCTGTTACTTGTTTGGGAACAAATGAATCCCTGGACGATTCATACAGGAGTCGCTGGGATAATTAGGTAAAAATAAATGCAGATTACAAGACCATGAAAGTGTTTTTTGACCTTGCATGCATATTAGACTGTTGTTGGAGACCCTTACAACCAAAATATGACCCTATCTCATGTATAATATGGGCTCTTTAATGTATGGTTTCTTGGGACAAAATTGGCTGAGACACAACTATATAAACATCTGCAATCCAAAACATCTGCAATAAAATAATCAACATATTGACAAAGTTGCTATTAAACATTTCCAAAAATATATTTTTTGATGTTTTGATATATGTATGGTAAGAAATTAATAAAAATGTCCTAATGGAACATAATCTTTATATTATAATGACCTTAGTCATAAGCGAAAGAGACTCATAACAACGTATTGTTGGCAATTTCTACAAATATACCTGTGCAACATAAGACTCCAGGATCACATTTATGAATTTGGCAGACATTTTCAGCAAAAGTGACATTGGTTTTTTATATTTAGTTCTTGTTGGAAATGAAACAAGCAACTTAGGTGTTACAATTATCATGCTTTACTATTTGAGTAGTTTTACAATGTAAAATAACCGTTATATATTGTTGTGCTAATTCAATTCAATTAATCTTTATTTCTGTAGCGCTTTTACAATGTAGATTGTATCAAAGCAGCTTAAGAAAGAAGTTTAAGTAAATCGAAACTGTCAGTCCAGTTTTCAGAGTTGAAGTTCAGTTCAGTCTGGTTTAAATTTCACTGCTGAAAGTCCAAACACTGAAGAGCAAATCCATCTAATCTTCTTGTTATTATCTGCTCATATTATTCTGAATGTTTGGTTCACTAACCTGCTGTCCACGGTACTTCAGAGATGGCAAGGTCAGAGAAGAGCTTTTCTGAGTACATGACGGGGGGTTTCATGATGCCGTTGCCAATGGGGTCCAGTTTGAAGAAATCACAATGAACCACATCCAGCTGCCCCTCCAGTCTGCTCTCCAGTTCCTTTAAAATTAAAACAGTTTATGGGTGTGGAAGATGACCATATTAGACTGTAAATCACAGAAAAGTTTGCCTTTACAGTGAGATTGTTGCTATTGTGTACATTTTGTAGCGTTTTTTTAATGATTTAACTAACATTAAAGATGTCACAAACTAAGAAATCTAAATTCCCCTCTTGGTCTTTTGACCAACTGGATTCAAAAGAGGTTGAGGTTGTCAAGGATGTTAGAAACATCCTTGGATATTTGTTGCAAGATTTTCTCAAACATAAATATGTAATATTGCATAAATTATTTGTAAATACAACAATACTTCCATCCCATGTGTTCATGAGAACAAAAAAATGTAGGTCTTATTTCCTACATAATGAACGAGACATGCCGCATAGCTGCAGATGCATGTTATACTGCAATCGAATGCCTGATGTTTTACAGTTTTTCAGTGTTGGAAATTATTTAACCAGACCTTTATAATGACAGACTTTCTCCAGTTTTTTGGAATGATTAAGACATTTAAAATGCTTTGTACTGAGACAGGTGCATACAAAAAACATAATATGCTAAGGCATAGTCACAAGGTTTTTGTGTATTAAGAAATGTTTAAGTCAAAGGGATCAATTATATGGTAAATATTTGCATTAAAGCTGTGGACATTTTTTTTGTTTGTTGAGAAAATCAATTCTGCGTTTTTCAAAATACGTCAATATTCTGTATTGAATTGAGTCTGTGCTTAGTTTTTAACAGCAGATGGTGCTCTAGTCTAGTTTTTAACTGTACACTCAAATACTCAGGAGGAGTGCTTGTGTGTTCAGCTGAGTGATGTAATGGCCCGTTTCCACTGAGTGGTACTGTACTGTATGCTTCAATATGCTTTTATGGCTGTTTCCATTGTCAAAATGCGTACCGCTGATCTTGAGCTGATGATAATAACGTGTGATTATTGGAGTGTCTTCAACATCTGATCCTTTCAGAAAAGAAAAGGACAAACGTGAGAGTGAAGCACGAAAAAACAAAGGAGAAGCCCGACAACACACAGAAATTGTTTCAGCAACCTAAATCATGAACAAACCGCCATGTTTATTAATCGCCTTTTGGACTATTATGAACTCTGAATGAAAGAATTACTCTATAAAAGAGGTTACATGTGCTGATGAAGATTACAGACACAGATGAAAGGTTTGCTCTGACTGTGGGCTGTATGGTGCATGTTGTTTTTGAACCCAAATAAGGACTAAATGTCTGCTGTGTGTAGTTTTTCTGTAATTGGTAACATATCGAAGACTGTAAGGGTCTGTATGTGTTCATATGCTGCATTTATTTATTTTATATAATTACAGACATTACAGTAGGCTATTTCGCACTGTCATTGTTCAGCAGTTATAATGAAATTATGTTTATAGAAAAGTTAGTAATAAACATTTATACACAAGTATTTATGTGTATAAAGCATCTGTTTTGTGAGAAGTGCTTCTCATATGATATGAGAACGACCCGTACAGCTTTACTGAAGACATTTATTCGAGCGAGAATACCATTGACTGAAACTTTCCATCATACACCATGCACACCAAAAAAGTACTATTTGTAGTGGGAACGCAAGCCTGATAAAGGTGACCCGTATCTACATGTACCGTACCATACTGTACCAGTCAGTGGTAACGGGCCATAAGTCGTCTTTCGTCACAAGATTAAACACAGCTCACAAACACATTAATTCGCTTAAACTATTCCAAACTTTATTCATGGTTAATGTGGTGTTTGTAAGGAACTGAAAGCAAGGAAAGTCCAGCTGTTTGTAAAGCATACAGCACCATCCACCGTTAAAAACTAGTCTACAGTGCCATCTACTGTTAAAAGGTAGCCTAGAGCGCCATCTACAGTTAAAAACTAGCCTACAGCCATCTACTGTTAAAAGGTAGCCTAGGGCGCCATCTACAGTTAAAAACTAGCCTAAAGTTCCATCTGCTTTTAAAATTAGCCTATAGCGCCACCTGCTGTTAAAAACTAAGCTCAGAATTAAACCAAGAGGACAGATTTTTTTTTCTTTGCTTGCTTTTGGTAAATAAAAAAAACTGGGTTAAAAAAGAAAAAAAAAGAGAATAGTGACGAATTCTGAAAAACTCAGAATATACGTCAAATGATTTTTGACCACAGCTCTACTCCACATGAAAAATTCTCCTTCTGAATTTGATTGAACATTTGACATTTTAATCCAGCATTTTTATGCTAATACCTTAAAATACTAATAATATATGGATGGTAACAGTGCTAGTAAGGCTATTTAGACATGTACCAGCAACTCAGGGAGAAAGTTTGCGTCACTCTCCAGTGCAACTACTCTCTGGGCCCCGCGGTTCAGCAAAGCACGAGTCAACACTCCAGGACCTGTAGACAGAGACAAAACTTACGTTAATGTTTGCGTTTAATTCTATGCCCTTCTTTTATGGCTATTTTCATGCCAAGAAAAAGTATACTGGAAATAAAAATCTTATTAAGGTTTTATCAATTATTTTTGCTAAAAACATCTAAAACTGCATTTGGATTAACAGTGTTAAAAACCGCTTCACAACAATAAACAGAATAAAACAAAATTCTCACAGATTTAAAGCCAGCACAAATGAATAGAACATGCTTCATAGTTAAAATACTTTTAGAAATAGAGCATGTGGGAGCATCCTCTTCTACAAGTATTAAAAACTTGTGACACATCCTCGAGTGATCACTCTACAGTGGGTAAAAACAGTCTGGCCAAAACTCACATTAAACAACAGTATAAAATATTGAATCATTAAACAACTATCAATATGTAATAAATAAATGTCCTATGTATTTCTGCATATGTAAACAGCCGCAATGTATTTGTATAATAATTAAATATTTTAAAAAAATATATATACAAATCTTTTTTTTTTTAAATGACACAAATATCCATAAATTTAAAATACCAATTGTATTTCGCATCTGAACACAGTTCATTCCTTGTTGCTTAAATACATTTTGGTTTGTAGTTTCTTTTGTTTATTCTTACTTTTTTGTATTGTGTCAGATATTTCTGTGAACCAAAGTTCCAAATTTAACCAAAAATTAACCAAATGTAAAGTTTAAATTCCAATTCAGTTCAATCAATGTATTTTAATAAATGAGTAAAGGCCACACACCTGGGTTACACTCAAATATGACAGCTTTCCCATCATCGATGTCCCTGCTGAGGTGGTCGGTCACGATTGTTGCGAGGGCAGGGTCTACGATGAACCGTCTCAGATTTTTACAAACCAGTGCTTTCTGTTCATTTTCATCCACATCGCCCAAATCTAAAGGATCGTACCGGCAGAGCGGGCGAAACTGACCCGTCAGGGGCAGAGCGACAGCAGAGAGATTCCTCTGAACGCCTCCAGAGGATGGAGAAATCCGCTCGGTCTGTGCCGGGGTTTTTCTTGTCCCAGAGGAGAATGAGTCTAGGGAGTATGTTCTTGCTGAGGTTGACAGAGTCCTGTGTTTCGTTAAAGGCAGAGCACACGGTGAGGCTGAACTTGATAGAGTTCTTAAAGTCAGGACAAAAAACCTGCATCCTCCACACGCCGCCATGACCGACAAAAAGCTTGCAGCCTGAAATCATATAATGTGCAAATACAGCATAGATTAAAACCTGAATATCTAGTTTTAAGCAATCCATAATGGAACTTGATGATTAAAAATTAAGTCACTGCTTAATAATTCTTAGTTTCTTTGCATTAGATAAATTTGTTGTACAGTAGTCAACATTTGATGTGGATCAAAAACATTTTTCAAAATTGTGCCAAAACAAGAATGGGTTTCGGTCGAAATAAGGATGACGTTTTGAATAACTTTAAATGCTGACTACAGTATATTGTATATACAGTATATCCAGAATTGATCAGAATAACATGTTATACCATGATCAAATATAATTAATAATTTTTTCAGCTGTTGTGATTGAAAATCAGGGTTATTCCACTAAAGGTATTGTGCCGTCTAAAAAAACTGCATAAAAGCTATAGAAATATGTCTGAAAACAGCATTTTTGGTATTTAAGCAATAACAAAAAATAAGCATTAATGAGAACATTTAATAAAAAAATGTTTAGAACTTTTTTTTTTCCATGACAAACAAATATTTTTGTCATAAACACAGAAAAACTGGAAGTGCTCTTTTAAAGTTTTCCATAGCTGTCCTTGCTATATTTAATGCATAAACTTTAATATCATATTAACATAAACATATACATATTTTCTAGATCATGTGATTATACTTTAAAACGTAGTTTATTCCAAATTTTTTGGAAAGCTACACTTTCAACATCATTACTTCAGTCTTCAATCATTAAAATTAGTGGCTCAATTATGATAAATTATTATTGGTACACAATAGATAACAATAGTTGTTGTTCTTCAGCTTCTTCTTTTTATTATTTTCAATGACGAACCGTTTCCCTCTTTAAAGTTTTGTGGCCCCTGCTTAACATCATATTTTCATTTTTTTGAGCCCTAAAAAGTTCACAGTAACATCTCTTCAATTAATCTGTAATATTATATATGTCCTCTAAAAAAAAAAAGTCTAAGATGTCTAACTTTGTAGTTTTAATTTCGCTCAGTAGTATTTATATTACATATATAAAATTAATTTATTTAAAATTGTCAACCTAACAAATATATACACGCCTTCTTTATCCAAATTGAATTTACTACCCTTTTGTTATGTTTGGGATTTTTTTTTTTTTTTTTGCATAAATCTGTTAATAAACCTCAGTCCTGATCAAGCCCACCACTATATTGCTTAGAATATTACAGGATTTTAACTCTTCTTGCCAAATTCATAAATGACGTCACTGATCTGGTGAAAAAAAAACAGACAAAATTACTTATTTCTAATATAAAATGTAATTGTGTACTAAATTTGCCCAGAGTACAATGCTTATTTAAAAATAAATAAATAATTAAAAGCATTTTCTCAAAACAAGATGTCACCAAAAATCATTTTACTAGCCAAAACAGAAAGTTATGGCCATAGAGTGGATGAAAACATCCTCAACAGTACATAAGGATTAAAATGTACTTAAATTATAGTTTATAAAAACTGCAATTACAAAAAAAAAACAGTATCCCGCAGATAAAATATTCTATAACTGAACACTAAATATATATATTATACATTCCCTGGGTGTAAATGACTGTGGGAACTCTGTTATGCATCATTATTTAACAAAAATTTCCAAAGTTCTCTCCAAGTAACATTTCAACATTAATATCTTATATTATTGCACATAAATGTGATGAGCACATTTTTGACGACACTGAACATCATCTTAAACCTTGATATGACTATAATCCTGTCTACATCAGACGATACACCATTACAGTTAGCAGAATACGTAACTATTAGGCTCCTCTGCTCAAATAAACATTTGACATGGCTGACTGCTGACTACACATTTACACTATTTTAACCCAAACTAACCTCAAATGATGCAGTTTTTGTCCGCGGGATCTACATTAATGTAGCACATTGAAGCTGCGTAACACGCGAGTCCGTGACATTGAGCTCCGCGTGCTGTTGACCTGCAGTTTGCGCAATCCCATTGGTGAGGCGCACAATCTACGTCATGTCTCCGCGACGTCTAAACATCTTCATGCAAATCAAAACTGCGTCATTTATACGCATTTTGAAATATGTTATCATTGTTTTATTTGATTTACAGGTGCAATTATGATTCATTTTGTCACGAAACGCTCATATATATGTAGACGCCATCTTAATAAACCAAGTTGTTCAGTGAAAACATTCTTTTTTTGAGCATGAGATTGTTTTAAAGAAGCTGCGTAATGGCGCGTAAAGTTGACTGTCATAAATACAAACAGAGCGTTCATATGTACCGTGAACAAACACATGGACGGTCACTGCAGATGATATTTTTATGAAATGATGGAGGCTGTGATTATGGAGAGGTTTATAAGTGAAGGTAAAGGCAATGGTTTGCGTGCTCTGCGTGAAATTAAACCCGGTGAGGTGATTTATTCATGCAAGCCGTTTGCGTTCTGCGTAGCAAGAGATTTCCTGAAAACTGCCTGTCAAAGTTGCCTCAAGAGGTAAGAAGACCACATTTTTATGCTCTGAATTTTTGTTTTGTTAGAAAAAAATCGCTAGAATACAATTTATACTTTAAGTTACAGCCGGTCAATGATTTATTCTCAGGTTTGTCAATGTCTAAATGTGTTTGGTGCTCAGAAAAGTTAGGCATATACTGCACTGTACGTATATGAATGCATTAATATGGACACTTTTCAATGTGTTGACCACAATATACAATTCTAACACATTTTTGATTGTGCTTTGCTATTAAGTATTTTTATTTAGTAAATTTCTATTTTATTTAACGTTTTGTTACAATATTCCTTTTTTATAATGAATATACTACAATATTTATTTATTTACAAATCATTTTTTATTTTGAATTATTCTAATATGTATTTATTGAGTTTCAATTGTTTTTACTTTTGCACAATATTACAGGCTAACATGTTTTTTTTTACGTTTTGTTAAATTATTTTTACTTAAAATAAGTTTTTCATGATCAATATACTACCATTTTTTATTTATTTATTTACAAATTACGTAATGATTTTTATTTACATTACTTTATGCATTATTTGTTTCAATTGTTTTTATTTTAGCAAAAATTTGACTCACTAAATTGTTGCTAAACGTTTTACATTATATTATGTTTTTCATAATCTAATATTAATATACTGTCTATATATCTTAATAGTAATATAACATTACACTATATAATACATATATAACACACACACCCACCTTACACTATACAATTCTAACATGTTTTTGAACGTATTTTGCTTTGTTTTTTTTCAACCGGCTAACATTTTAAAAAAATATTTAGTTACAATTTTATATTTTTCGTAATCAATATACTACTATATTTATTCATTTATACGCATTCTTATTTTTTTTTTAACATTACTCTAATATGTATTTATTTTGTTTCGATTGTTTTTATTTTTGCACAATATTTTGGGCTAAAATGATTTGAGCGTTTTGCTACAATATTATGTTTTTCATAGTCAATAAACTACTATATTATTTATTTTTTATTTATTTATTTATACATTTCCGTAATTAGTTTGTTAAATTTACATTACACATTATGTGTATTTTTTATTGTTTTTATTCTTTTTAGTTGATCAAATTGCTAAAATATTGCTAAACATTGTTACATTACATTTTTCATAATCTACTGCTAATGTCCTCTCTATATATTTTAATAGTAATATAACATTACACTATATATACAGTTAAAGTCAGAATTATTAGACCTTCTGTTAATTTTTTCCCCACTTTCTATTTAACGAAGAGCAGATTTTTTCAACACATTTTTAAACATAATAGTCTGCAGCTCTGCACAAGACGTTTGGCCAGTGGAGAAATGGTCGTGCCCAACTGAGCCTGGTTTCTCTCAAGGTTTTTTTAGTTCTTCACTTTCGCCAATTGGTGAAGTTTTTTCCTCGCCGCTGTCGCCACTGGCTTGCATGGTTCAGGATCTGTAGAGCTGCACATAGATGAATTCGCTCTTCAGTGTTTGGACTCTCAGTAGTGATTATTAACCACACTGACTGAACTGAGCTAAACTGAACTGAACTACACTGTTTCAATTCACTATAATCTTCTTTGTGAAGCTGCTTTGACACAGTCTACATTGTAAAAGCGTTATACAAATAAAGGTGAACTGAGTTGAATTGAATAATAGTTTTAATAACTCATTTCTAATAACTGATTTATTTTATCTTTGCCATGATGACAGTAAATAACATTTGACTAGATATTTTTCAAGATACTAGTATTCAGCTTAAAGGGACACTTAAAGGCTTTACGAGGTTAATTAGGCTAACTAGGCCGGTTAGGGTAATTAGTCAAGTTATTATATAACTATGGTTTGTTCTGTAGACTATTAGAAAAAAAAAGCTTAAAGGGGCTAATAATTTTGACTTTAAAAGGACTTTTAAAAAATTAAAAACTGCTTTTATTCTAGCCAAAATAAAACAATTAAGATTTTTCTCTAGAAGAAAAAAATTCTAGGAAATACTGTGAAAATTTCCTTTCTCTGTTGAACATAACTCGGGAAATATTTTAAAAATAAATTCCAACGGGGGCTAATAGTTCTGACTTATGTTCACATTACAATATACTTTTCTAACACATTTTTATGACTATTTATGAAGTTGTTTTTTTTTACAATGGGCTAAAGTGTTTTTTTTTTTACGTTTTGTTACAATATTACGTTTTTCATATCAATATACTACTATATTTATTCATTTAGCAATTTTATTTAACTACTGTAATATGTATTTATTTTGTTTCAATTGTTTTAATTTGTTTACAATATTACAGGCTAAAATGTTTTTTAACATTTTGTTATAATATTAAGTTTTTCATAATCAATAGACTACATTATATATTTATTTATTTCATTACAAATTTACGTAATCTTATTTTTAATTTATATTACTCATATGCATTTATATTTTATTTAATTTGTTTTATTTGATCAGATTGCTAAAATGTTGCTAAAGGTTTTGTTTCGTTATGTTTTTATAATCTACTGCTAATATAGTCTCTATACGTCTAAATAGTAATATTACATTACACAGTACAATATATTCTGTATACACATTACAATATACAATTCTAACATATTTTTGAATGTACTTGACTAAGTTTTCAAACAGGCTAAAGGGGTTTTTTCAACGTTTTGTTACAAAATTATGTTTGTCATAATCAATAAACTACTACATTTATTTATTTATAAATTTACTTATTAATTTTTTTTAATTTACATTACTCTTATATGTATCTATTTTTGTTTTAATTGTTTTAATTTTTAAAAAAAATTTACTTGCTAAAATGTTGCCAAACATTTTGTTACAATATTAAGTTTTTATATTCTACTATATATTCTATAATATATAGTGACATTAATTTGTTTATTTTATTTTTATTGTTTGTTTTATTATAATATTAGTTATTTATTTAAATTTTACGTAAAAGTATGAAAAACAATGATTATTTTATAGCATTTGTCATTTCTTGTTTATTTTATTACATATATTTATGTATTGATCTTGATGTCATTATTTTAATCTTATTAAGTTTGTTTCACTATTTATTTACATTAAATCATTTTTTTCTATTATTAATTATTATAATTTCAATATTTCAATCTGTCTTTTTATAGTTTTGTTTTGTTGTTGGCTTATTTTGTACTGATGTGGTTTCTATCCTCAAATTATTATCAATATTATTATTCTTGTTCTTGTTATTATCTTTGCTATTATTACTAATATTTTTTAATATATTAATCATTTTAACAGTTATGTTTGTACTTTTTTTGTTCTTTTTCTCCAACTATTTCGTTGCATTCTGCACACTGCAGTGCTTTGTTTGTCAGGATAAAACACTATAAGCAACAACCAGTCTCTCTGTAGGCCACACATGTGCTGTTTATCCTGTTTTTGTGCCTTTTTTCGTAATATGACATATATTGTTCAATGCCAGTGGATTACATTACTACACAAATGTAGTCAGGCTGAAGTGTATCTGACTATTGTGAGTGCGTCCTCTAGGGGGCGCTGTTGCTCTTTGACTAATTTTGCTCTTGAATTAGTTTACATTGGTTGCTGTTTTGCTGGTCAACTAATGAGGTGTGTCTGACACTGAAGTGCTGTTTACATATGCAAGACAAAATAATCTATCATATCAATACTTGCAAAAGAAAATAGGTATTTTATTGAACTTTTGGTGAAAACAATTTTACAGCATTTTGATGTAATTGGGAGGATTATTTTTAATTTTTAATTGTGCATTTAATTCGAAAATCTGTTTTAATGGCTATATACACACACTTACCGGCCACTTTATTAGGTACACGTGTACAATTGCTTGTTGAAGCATATTTCTAATCCGCCAATCAAATGACAGCCACTCAATGTATTAAGCCATGTAGACATGGTCAGAAGGATCTGCTGCAGTTTTAAACCGAGCATCAAAATGGGGAAGAAAGGGGATTTAAATGACTTTGAACAGGGCATGTTTGTTTGTGCCAGACGAGCTGGTCTGAGTATTTCAGAAACTGCTGATCTACTGGGATTTTCACAACCAACCTTTGAGATGTGGTAGAACGGGAGATTCGCATCATGGATGTGCAGCCGAAAATGCTGCAGCATGGACCAAAATCTCTGAGGAATATTTTCAGTTTCTTGTTTAATCTATGCCAAGAAGGATTAAGGCAGTTCTGAAGGCAAAAGTGGGTCCAAATCGGTACTAGTAAGGTGTACCTAATAAAGTGGCCAGTCAGTGTATATGTATGTAGATAGACTTTTTTTCTTGTATTTGTCAGAATGTAATGTTCTATTCTGAGCATATCTTTTATTTTTTTTAGGTGACACAGATGAATGCGCTGTATCCGTGTTGTATAACATAGCCTAGAGAACGGAGATATGGTCAGTGAAGTTCACAGAAAGCAATTATCTCTGCGTCAGAACACATTTATCAGTTTACTCAAGTTGCTCCAGCTCTAATCTGCTTCGGATCTCTGTTTAAATAATGCAAATGCAAATAGTAGCCTCGCTTTTCCATGCTGTGCCTCAGAAAAGGAAAGTTTGCTGTGGACGGCATCTGTTGAGAGCGTTTTCATCACCTGTCTGCAGTCATAGGGTTTCTCCATTGCCATCCAGCAGTCTAGGCTTGTTTGTCGTCATTGTTATTCATTACAGACGCATACTGTATTTTCATTTTCAAAGGTGTCATTTTTCCTCTCGCTGAGCAGAAAGCGCATGTAGGAAGATGCTGATATGAGATTGACTTTTGTAGCAGATGTGCTGTGATTTCATTCACACCAGCTCTTCATGCCCTCTTTGCAGCTTGATCAGCTCTGACACTTTATTAGAGCCGAAAAAACACTCAAGTGCATGTAAACCTGAGCATACATCTTGAGTTTGTTTCAGTGTTGTATACAGTTGAAGACAAACTTATTAACTATCCTGTAGAATTGTAAAAGTCTTGTTTCATTTAGACT